CCTTACACCCCTCCCCCCCTTTTTTTTGGGGGGGGGGGGGGGCAGGTATAAGGTGAGCTTGCTCTGTGATCGGGACATGAAGGTGACGTTATCCCAATTTGGCCACATAAGTGGAATGACACTTTTAGGGCCAACTGTCCCTGACCAGCGGCGTGGCTCAGAGATGGAAGTGTCAGCTGACATCCCCAGCACGGGGCCCGCTCAGACATAGCAGCATGCGGCGCCCCCGGGTGGACTCAGGAACAGTTGCTGTGTGACGCATTTCGGGGACTCTTCGGCACTTTCTTAAATCTCTTTAGAAAAGCGTCAGAGACCAGAACATGATGCTATTGCCAGCTGACACATCCCCCCTCCCCCCACCGGTCAGGGACTATCGGCCTCATGCTGTTGTCGCAGGTCGCCTCCAATGTGCGACATTCATTGCGGCGGCTTTGTGTCTCCTGTTCTCTCTGTGTCTGAGCCGGTTAGCACGCAGTGAGGTCACCGTACCATGTGACCTGTTCACATGTACTTCCATTGACTCCTTCCAGCTACCACTCCCAGGCGGGGCCGGATTTACTCCCCCTGCTGCCCCGAGGCCGGCTCCCGGGCGGCCCAGAACCGGCGGGGGTCACTCGGAGGATTCGTTTTGTAGACAATTTGTTCATAAAAGTGTAAATTGTGAATAATGGGGAGCGGGGGGCGGAGCATGGGGCGGAGCCATGATGACCTTCCATGGATTCCTGAGCCTTGTCTTTTCTCTCCCCGCAGGGTTGCCAGGGACACAAGCGGATCTGGAGAAGAGGCGGCAAGTCTACGGGGAGAACCTCATACCTCCAAAGAAGCCAAAAACATTCTTACAGCTGGTATGGGAAGCTCTACAAGACGTGACGCTGATCATCCTGGAAATAGCGGCCATTATATCCCTCGGCCTGTCCTTCTACCGCCCGCCCGGAGGAGACATAGAAGGTAAGTCACACTCGCAGCAGCCAATCACAGGCCAGCTTTCCTGCCAAGCTGAAAACTACTTCCTGCAAACAGCGCATGCCAATGTGTGCGTTCCAGGAGACCAAAACATTGGGGTCCTTCTGGGGACGGCCTGGGCCCCCCGGTGTGTGCACTCCGGAGCACTGACATTTTGGGGTCCCCCTGAAGTACAGCCTGGGCCCCCTGGTGTGTGCACTCCGGAGCACTGACATTTTGGGGTCCCCCTGAAGGACAGCCTGGGCCCCCCCGGTGTGTGCACTCCGGAACACTGACATCTTGGGGTCCCCCTGACGGACAGCCTGGGCCCCCTGGTATGTGCACTCCGGGACACTGACATCTTGGGGTCCCCCTGAAGGACAGCCTGGGCCCCCTGGTGTGTGCACTCCGGGACACTGACCTCTTGGGGGTCCCCCTGAAGGACAGCCTGGGCCCCCTGGTGTGTGCACTCCGGAGCACTGACATCTTGGGGTCCCCCTGACGGACAGCCTGGGCCCCCCGGTGTGTGCACTCCGGAGCACTGACATCTTGGGGTCCCCCTGACGGACAGCCTGGGCCCCCCGGTGTGTGCACTCCGGAGCACTGACATCTTGGGGTCCCCCTGACGGACAGCCTGGGCCCCCCGGTGTGTGCACTCCGGAGCACTGACATCTTGGGGTCCCCCTGACGGACAGCCTGGGCCCCCCGGTGTGTGCACTCCGGAGCACTGACATCTTGGGGTCCCCCTGACGGACAGCCTGGGCCCCCCGGTGTGTGCACTCCGGAGCACTGACATCTTGGGGTCCCCCTGACGGACAGCCTGGGCCCCCCGGTGTGTGCACTCCGGAGCACTGACATCTTGGGGTCCCCCTGACGGACAGCCTGGGCCCCCCGGTGTGTGCACTCCGGAGCACTGACATCTTGGGGTCCCCCTGACGGACAGCCTGGGCCCCCCGGTGTGTGCACTCCGGAGCACTGACATCTTGGGGTCCCCCTGACGGACAGCCTGGGCCCCCCGGTGTGTGCACTCCGGAGCACTGACATCTTGGGGTCCCCCTGACGGACAGCCTGGGCCCCCCGGTGTGTGCACTCCGGAGCACTGACATCTTGGGGTCCCCCTGACGGACAGCCTGGGCCCCCCGGTGTGTGCACTCCGGAGCACTGACATCTTGGGGTCCCCCTGACGGACAGCCTGGGCCCCCCGGTGTGTGCACTCCGGAGCACTGACATCTTGGGGTCCCCCTGACGGACAGCCTGGGCCCCCCGGTGTGTGCACTCCGGAGCACTGACATCTTGGGGTCCCCCTGACGGACAGCCTGGGCCCCCCGGTGTGTGCACTCCGGAGCACTGACATCTTGGGGTCCCCCTGACGGACAGCCTGGGCCCCCCGGTGTGTGCACTCCGGAGCACTGACATCTTGGGGTCCCCCTGACGGACAGCCTGGGCCCCCCGGTGTGTGCACTCCGGAGCACTGACATCTTGGGGTCCCCCTGACGGACAGCCTGGGCCCCCCGGTGTGTGCACTCCGGAGCACTGACATCTTGGGGTCCCCCTGACGGACAGCCTGGGCCCCCCGGTGTGTGCACTCCGGAGCACTGACATCTTGGGGTCCCCCTGACGGACAGCCTGGGCCCCCCGGTGTGTGCACTCCGGAGCACTGACATCTTGGGGTCCCCCTGACGGACAGCCTGGGCCCCCCGGTGTGTGCACTCCGGAGCACTGACATCTTGGGGTCCCCCTGACGGACAGCCTGGGCCCCCCGGTGTGTGCACTCCGGAGCACTGACATCTTGGGGTCCCCCTGACGGACAGCCTGGGCCCCCCGGTGTGTGCACTCCGGAGCACTGACATCTTGGGGTCCCCCTGACGGACAGCCTGGGCCCCCCGGTGTGTGCACTCCGGAGCACTGACATCTTGGGGTCCCCCTGACGGACAGCCTGGGCCCCCCGGTGTGTGCACTCCGGAGCACTGACATCTTGGGGTCCCCCTGACGGACAGCCTGGGCCCCCCGGTGTGTGCACTCCGGAGCACTGACATCTTGGGGTCCCCCTGACGGACAGCCTGGGCCCCCCGGTGTGTGCACTCCGGAGCACTGACATCTTGGGGTCCCCCTGACGGACAGCCTGGGCCCCCCGGTGTGTGCACTCCGGGACACTGACATTTTGGGGTCTTTATCGTTAATATTACATTACAGCGATAACAGCGGCAGGACTTGGACATTTGCAGCAAGAAGAGTGAGACTTCCTGGCTGGAGAGATGGAGACAGAAGGGAGATCAGTGTAGTGTCCGGAGGTGACACCAGCGGATGGTCTGTCCTGTCTCAGGTGTCCTGTGCTCTGATTGGCTGAACACTTCCCCCCCACCTGCTGCTGTTATGACATCTACGCAGGTTCTCGGTGTCGGGAGATCTCCATGGTTACTGAGGCTGAAAGATGCCGGGACCAGGAAATAAAGATGGCTCCTCGGGGGTGGAGCCTCATCCTACTACAGCCCCCATGTGGTGATGTCATTCTTCTTATATCTGTCCTTCCTTCCGTCCCATACGGTCTGTAGTCACCACATGGGGGACCCCTGAGGGCGGAGCAGTGTTTGGGGTCCTTCTGTCCGGGGTAATGGCTGCTCTGGAATTATCCTTCTACAGAAGATGGATCACTGCTGGAAAATGCTGGATGACCTTGGAGGAGGAACACTAAGGTGGTAGAAACCTGCAGAACCGGAACTTCTAGACGTCAGAACATTCCGGACTGATGTCCAAAACCATTTCAGCTGCCGCTCAGGTGTATTGTGTCATCACAGGTGCTCCTCTAATACACGTCTGTACCGTCATTGTGTGATCGGTTCACCAATCAGCCATAGGAGGCGTGTCATGTGACCTTCTGGGCCCAGCCAGCAGAATCACAATGTCAGGCTTCCAGCCTCGGGCAGGGCCACGGCCCCCGACCTCCTCTGACAGCTCTCTGGTCCTCCCATGGTGGGGGGAGGGGTGATGGAGGAAAGAGATTCTGGGGTCAGGTGACGTTAAGAGCACCTTCTTAAAGTGACAGGACTCGTCTGTGTAGCACATGACCAGTCTGTGGGAGTGGCCTGAATTATTGTTGGCCGGGGGGATCAAATACTTATTTTACTCCATTGATAACATTTGTGTCATGTGACCTCTCCGGGGTTGGTGGATTTTCTGTCTCCGCTGATACCACGTTTCCCCGAAAATAAGACTGGCTCCAAATAACACACGAGGTCTTATTTTCGGGGGAAGGTCTTTTTGTTTTTTTAATGTACAATAGTCTGGTGATCGGGGCGATCGGGGGCACCGCACCTTTCCAAGAGCAATGTGGTGACCAATGGCTGGCCAGAATGAGCGGCGCTGTCACTATAGATTCCTCACAGGCGGAGTGCATTTGGTATGAGTGCGCCTGTGACAGGAGGCGGGGCTATAGAGGAGGCGTCGGCTTATGCGGCTCTGCTCCCTCCGCTGCCGCCTCACTTCCTCCAGCGCCGGCTTCGTTGACACCGCTGATTCTCTCTCGCGGCTCTTCAGGTTCCCCCCTTATGCCATCACCGGCCCCGGGAAAGGTCACAACTAGTCTTATTTTTGGGGAAACAGGGCACTGTTTCCCCAAAATCCCCCCACACATATTATTAGACAAGTGCAAAGACTAAAAATTCATTTCAGATGAAATGAACGAAAACTAAAAAAAGTTTTCATTAGTTTCATCAAACAAAACACATTTTTCTGCTATTTTGTATTCAGCGATTGGCGTGTTCTGGAGGCGGGGCGCATGACGTCATATAACACCGCACGTGTTGGGCGCCGCCATCCTATTGTATATCTAGCTATACAGCAAGATGGTGGGGCCAATATCGGCGTGTGAGGTCACCTGACGCCACGCATGCGCGGCATCATGTGACGTCATGCTCCCCGCCTCTATGATGGTGGCACGCATTCACAGAACACGCCGGGGGCCAACATGGCCGCCGCACATTCTCAAACAAATTATTATGTGTCTGATACATTTCTCGTATATTCGGACATATAGTCATTCATGTTACACGGAGCCCGGGGTCTGTGTTCTGTTTTTTATTTTTACTTTTCTAGCTGCACTGACTGGAAGAAAAGGATCGGCATGACAACCGGACACTCTATTGTTATAGACTCCATTGTAGTCTGACATTTATTGTTTACCTTCTGTTGTTTTATGTGATAAGAAGACTTCTATTGTGCCGACAAGTTTAATACCTCTTAATAAAAGTTTTATTTCTATCACACTTTATAATATGTTTCTTTGCGGCTTCACAAAATAGGAGTCTTTAAATGGTGCGGATATTGGGGGAAATGGGTGTGGTTACGGGGGTGTGGCCACTGAGGGGTGTGGCCACTGAGGGGCGCTGTAAAGCTCTCTCGCACAGGGCGCTTAAAGGCCTAAGGCCGGCCCTGAAACACGGAATGTGTCATGTTGAGGAAGGAGGACTCATTGACGTGTTGTGTTCCCGGCAGGTTGTGGTGGGATGGAAGCCGGGGCTGAAGATGAAGGTGAAGCGGAAGCCGGTTGGATTGAAGGCGCCGCCATCCTCCTGTCCGTGGTCTGCGTTGTGTTGGTCACGGCCTTCAATGATTGGAGCAAAGAGAAACAATTCCGAGGCCTCCAGAACCGCATTGAGCAGGAGCAGAAGTTCTCTGTGGTCCGAGGAGGACAAGTCATCCAGATCCCGGTAGCGGAGCTTGTAGTCGGGGACATCGCGCAGGTGAAATACGGTGAGTTGTGGTAATATTGGTGCTTTGTGGATACAGAAGGGGCGGAGTCAATGACCGCGTCTATTTGCACCATCAGGTGACCTTCTTCCGGCTGACGGCGCCTTCATTCAGGGAAACGACCTGAAAATAGATGAAAGTTCCTTAACGGGAGAGTCTGATCAGGTCCGCAAATCTGTAGATAAAGATCCAATGCTGCTGTCAGGTAAGAGCAGAACATGTAGAGTACACGTATGTATACATACACTACACATGTAGTATGCATTCATGTCACATATTATGTATGGGGTCCTTCCTTACTGACACGCGGTCCCTGTACCGTCCCCTCATACTGACACGCGGTCCCTGTACCGTCCCCTCATACTGACACGCGGTCCCTGTACCGTCCCCTCATACTGACACGCGGTCCCTGTACCGTCCCCTCATACTGACACGCGGTCCCTGTACCGTCCCCTCATACTGACACGCGGTCCCAGTACCGCCCCCTCATTCTGACACGCGGTCCTTGTACCGTCCCCTCATACTGACACGCGGTCCCTGTACCGTGATCCTACAT